CTTTTAAGAATAGTAATTGTTGGTTATTGGAATTTATTCTGTATACACCAATCATATACTTAGAGATTTATATATATATATATATATAAATCATATTCTGTAGTTTTTGGTGCTTTTCTGTATGTTCTAGTTCTGTTGTCCTTGAGTAGTTGTGTTTCTGGGGGTTTAGTTCATATACATTTTTAGTTTTGTTCATTGCAATACATTAGGTGAATTGTTTATTTTAGTTATATCTCCTTTTGACCAGCATATATAGTTGAACCAAAACAACACACATTGCCTGAAGATGGTATTTAAGCATGAAACAGATTGTCTCTGCTGGGTGCTGATATTATATGAACAGATGATATACTTATGATAGATATAGTCAAGAACATTTTGATAGCATGAAGTGAATTATGAAGATATTGAAAAAAATGTTAAAGTTTCAGAAAAAAAATTATTTCCTAGGACAACATGAAAGATTTAGGATTTTTCATAAGCAAGCCTGAAGTTGTGGCTTTGGCAGAGAGGTTTTTAGGCTATTTGTGAAGAAGCAACCCTGATAAATGCTGCTCAGCTGAAAAAAGTTTTTAGTATGGTTAATAGCTATAACATGCCCCTCTTAAATATATTGACACCCCTTGAGCCATTTCATAAATTATTATTCAAAGATATGACACAGGCTTTCAAATTTGAGCAGGAAGAAACTTTTTGTAAAGAAAAAAAAAATCCTGGTGGATGCTGGATTGTTGATCCTTTATTATTCAGGTTTTCCAATCTAGGTCAATTATGATGGATCGCCATCAGAAAGTAAAGGCATGTTGTGCCAAATAGTTGACAAAAACAGCTTGCTTATGCTTGATGAATACTAAAGACTGCAGTGAAAAACCAATTATTTTGAGAAGGAATCTTGAGCAATCATTTATAAAGTATATATATATATATTTCACCAATATTTGTAGTGTTAAAAGTTTGTTATAACCATAGATCACAAATTGCTTTGAACCTGGAAAAAAAAAAAAAAAAAAAAAAAAAAACAGGTCAAGTTTAGCAGTAGCAGCTCTTCATGCAGAGCTTGATCTTATTAACAAACAATTACAAACTTGAATATAAATTTGGTTAGAAAATGCTGGTGGACATACAAAATTACATATTTTAGTGAAGGTCAAAGAGGTTTCACAAACAAAAAAAACGTTCGATATCTATGTCTAACATGACAACTACAGAAGTAGCAAGAAAGAAGATCCAATTTTGCACTAAGTGTCATGGAATATTTTGGGAGAATAGTCTGAGTGAGTGTAATGATAAATTAGCAACTTAAAAAGAAAAAAAAAAGTATGCAGTTGATGGAATTGTTTTGCTTCGGGCTTCAAAGGTAACAATAACAGTCCCTGAGCAATCTGTCCTAAAAGAATTATACATAATGCACATTATTAAAGTGTGTATTAAAGTTTTGGCAACAAGTTATATCCACTGGCATAGACCTGCAGAAGACATTGAGCAATATGTGAGGTCAGGTAAGAGAGCACAATTAAAAACAGCAACAATCCAGTATCTGTCTATATTTCTGAGATGAGGTATTATGTACATTATTTACATTTACATTACATTTACTCATCTTTGTTGCCATATTTATTACATATTATTTGTAATAAATATGGCAACAAATATGAGGACGATAGTCTGAATAATGTAGCAACAATCCAGTTAAAACCACTTCTCACTCATAAGTACAAAACCTTAGCAAAAAGGTTACACCTAGACCATGCTGTTTATGATTGCATATGAGAGTTTCAGCAAGTGGATATACATTCATATAATAAAATACACTGGGAGTCAACTAATGATAGAAAAGCTCTGCAAGACATTTGCAGACAGATTATTGATGTGCTTGTGACAGATAATATCACTGGGCCAAGTAGTAGCAAATTTCAGACATTTTTTATTCACAATGGAATAATGTATGTATGATCGGCATCTTACCATCCATTATCAAATGGTCAAGCGCAAAGATCAGCTGAGACAATGAAAGAGAAATCAGAAAGATAAGACAGTTCCCTTGAGATGAAGGTACGCCAATTACTATTTTCATACAGATGCACTCCCCATAGGGTGACAGGAATATCAGCAGCAGAAATGCAAATGAAGTGTCATGCACACAGTTGATTCCCAGTGAGGGGGAAAATCTGAGAAAGCAGGTTTCAAAGTTTGAGTATTTAAGATGGATTACATGGTAACTACAAGATTATATAGCAATGACAAGTAGATGAAAAGAGTTATTATCAGCAGAGATAGAGAAGTGGTGTATTATATGAGAATGTGGGATTGAAACTGAAGAGACATGTGAACTAGATACAAGCAATATCTGATGCACAATAGGGAATGGCCTGCAACATCTCAAATCTGCTAGTGAGGAAGGCTGCTAATGTAGTAACTAGTCTGGAAGATGTAGGTCTGTAGAACACGAGTCAATCAACAAAGAAGCATCTATTCCATGTATAGAGACCAAAACAAGAGCCATCTCATTGACTGAATTCATTCCTGAATATAACCCAGTGGAACTGGTCATGCCAAAAGCTAGTTCAGGAGGATCTGAAAGCCACCTGGTTGCTTTATATATTATCAATGAGGAACTTTATAGAATTTGTGTAAAAACTGTAGATAACAAATATTGGCTTTCTTCACACTAATTGCGGAGAAGTTCATTTTAAACATTCTTTTTTATCATTTTGAATTTGACTTGGCACAAAACACATTTAAATTACCAACACCAAACTTTTTATTTGCATATTTGTGTGATTGACTGAGGTAAGCCAGACTCTTGATGAGAGAACTTGTGCCTTACCAAGATAAAGTGGGCAGTTTTCGTAATGGAATCAGAATGGGAAAACTGTCTGTCAGAAGCTTCTCAATCTGACTTATTGGAAATGACACAAAGATCCTAAACATCTACATTTGCTTTATACAAAATGGCTATAGAAGCAGAGAACTAAAAGTTCTATGGTTATAAACAAACACCAAACCAATATATAGAACACCTTTTTTCATAATAAAATAGATGGTCTATACACTATAGTCTATAGTAATCATTTGTGTTCACTTATACTATGTACCATATCCTTTTAGTAAATTGACAGTTATGGCTCTCTACAACATTTTGTCCTTTGTAGCTCTTAATAAATTTTGTCCTTTTATTATCTTTCTTAAACCTTGTTCTGCCATACATTTATTCATGCTAGTTAGGTAGGTTATGTATTGTTTTTCTCTGTCCCTCTTGCCTTCAATCTGTCCAGTGAGTATCAAATTTTCCAAGCCCTCTTTCCTCATTATGTGCCCTAGAAATTTCAACTGCCTCTTCCCAATGTTAAATGTATTTTTTGTTTCCATTTTCTTTAAAATTTTGTTGTTGCGCATATGTTCTGTCCATGGTATTCTCAGCATCCTTCTGTAGAACCATATTTCTGTTATTTCAAGTCTCTTCTTCATCTGTGAGGAGATTGCCATCTAGGAGGACTGAATTTTGCATTCCTTGGTGCGTATCAGAAAAGATTCGAAAGATGAGGCCTGAAGAAGTTTAGGTAATTTAAATTTCTGTTACCAAAACTCATATCTTTCAAACTCCATATATTGGTGACACTCTTTAAAAATAATTTTTGCAATACTTAGGATTGTTTATATGCTGGTCTTTTCAGGATGTGGGTGATTATGATTCCACAACTTACTATTCTTTGTAGCTCTTAGCTTGTTGTTTTTTTTTTTTTTTACTGCCCTTCCTATTCCATGATCTGACATCTACTTACACATGCTTGTTAGGTACATTAGTTGCTGTTTTCCTATAGGTAATTATAGTGTTATAAATCACCAGTTTGCAAAGATCTGCCTTGACTGATACAAAAATAATTAATAGCTGTTTTAAGTATTAACTTCTGGTTCAATTAAATTTTTAGCAAAACCTTGATAAGAAAATAATCTGATAATATCTTGGTGATATTTTCCTTATTTTTAGATAAACTTTCACAATTTATTGTTACAATTACATAATTAAACACAGTATCAAATATTAAAAACATAATTAGACAATACAATACCCACAGACTGAAGATTTTGAATTGAAAATTGCATTGAATATTGCTGCCACATCTAGTTTAGTGCTTCTTTATATATTTAGAGATTCTTGATCAAATACAAAGAATCTGCAATGCAATACTTGATTGTCAGCAAAGTCTCATGATTTTGTAGTTGATATGGCTAGATATAATAGTAAGTTCTATGCTAATAGTTTCTTATCTTGCACTTCTTGCTTGTGGAACTCTCTCTTGGCTTCTGCTTTCCAGTCAACATTGATCATAAATTCAATGTCGATCTTTGATTTAAGTGCAATGTCAATCTTTATCTTCTGTCTTCTTAATTCCTGTTCTTTTATAGTCCTCTCACCTTAATGTTTTTTCTCATATTCTCTCACAATCAATAGCCTCTTGTCTCTTAGTAGCTTTATTGCCTAGTTTGTGGTGAAATGAATACACCCAGCAAAAGAAAAAAAACAAAAAAACAAAACGTTTTAAAGTTTCAACAAATATTTTGTTCTCTCTTGACAGGATTTACTCATCAGTACACATTTGTGTATTTGTTCTCCCACATGAATGTATACAACAAATTTGCACTTCTTTCCTCCCACTGAGATGCTGCTATTATACAGAAGAGACAAGGAAGAATGAACTTTTTTTTTTATTATTATTATTTCTTGGTCTTTAATACTATTAAGTTACTGCTAGTAAAAGTAGACAAGAGTTGAAAAATATTCCCAAGTCAGAATTTTAGGAAAAAATGATGCATAGTCTATTCTCATCTTTCGGAATGGAATTTACACTCACCCAAATTCTTTCTGTAAGCAACACATCATGTTTATAGTTTAAACTTTAATGATTCTTATTTTACTCTAAATCAAACAAATATTAAAAAAGCTAAAAACAAAAAGATTGGTGTAGAAGCCCTGAAGACTACAGCTTAAATCTTAGCACTAAGTACAGGGGGGGGAAAAGAAAAAAAAAAGGAAAAAGAAAAAAAGAAAGGAAAAAAAAAAAAGAAAGGAAAAAGAAAAAAAAAGGAAAAGAAAAAAGAAAGGGAAAAAAAAAAGAAAAAAAAAGAAAGGAAAAAGAAAAAAAGAAAGAAAAGAAAAAAAGAAAGGAAAAAGAAAAAAAAAGAAAAAGAAAGGAAAAAAAAAAAGAAAGGAAAGAAAGAAAAGAAAAAAAAAAAGAAAAAAAAAAAAAAGAAAAAAAGAAAAAAAAGAAAGGAAAAAAAAAAAGAAAGGAAAAAGAAAAAGAAAAAAAGAAAGGAAAGAAAAAAAAAAAGAAAAAAAAGAAAAAAAAAGAAAGAAAAAAGAAAAGAAAAAAAAGAAAAAAAAAGAAAAAAGAAAGAAAAAGAAAGAAAAAGAAAAAAAAAAAGAAAGAAGCTTGCTTAAAATTAATTTAACAAAAAAAAAAAAAAAAATCCTGATGGTTTTGTCACTTTAAAATCTATAATACTCAAATGTTTATGAAGATAGAATAAATATTGATTTTTCAGCAAGATTCAGTCTTTATGTACTTCATATTTTTTCTTCGGAAACACCATTGAACAGAAATTTTATAAAATTTAAACACGAGAAAAATTATTTCTTTCTGAAATGAGCAGTTATTTACATTCAGATTAATGTCCTTATCTTTGAGGTTATTATCACAATGTTTCAGCCAATGTTTTTGTTGATCTAGGGAATGCTTTATTTAATCAGTGGGAGTAGTTTATTTGCATAGCACTGTCCATGTCTAGAGATGCTTTGTACTTATTTAGTAGTACTCAATTATTGCTTGCCCTGTTTTCCTGAGTCTAAGTCTGTACTAACCAGCACATGGATTGAACACACAATTACAATGTCACCAAATTCACAAATCAACACTTGGCTATTGTCTCAGTGGACAGACAACTGAAGGAAGATGGCAGGCCCAACAATCAAGACATTATGATGATAATAAAGATGAGGATATTAGTTTGAATGTAAATAAGAAAACTTATATAAAAAGAGAAATGTATCCATTGTCTATTGTTTTGTGAAGGCATAAAAAATTTCACATTATGATGTTTTAAATTTAGTTGCTCAGAATATTATGAAAAGCCACTTAAATTTAATGGTTAGCTCAGACCAAAAATGGAGCATTGCCGCCATATCTGGGTTGGAGATGCCTAGTCCTCTCTTTCCAGCATCAACAGAGTTCAAAAGTATTTATGTGGCCTTATATGTGATGAATTATTTTCAACCATACAATCCCTTTGCAATGTCACAAGCTGATTGCTACTATTTTTATTTCCATGGATGAACTTAGTTCCACAAATTCAGACCTTTACAGCAATCCTGTTGATCTGTGTACACATGGGGCAAAGCATCCTCATTCCCTGCATTCCATTGGTAAGGAAGTAAGACAGGGTCACTGAAATGTCAACCTCTAAGTCCAGAGTCAACAATTATCTATCCTACATATCCTCATAATCTACAATTCTTATGCTCATAAAACAACCCCATTCAGTAACCCTCTATATTGAAAAGTTCTTGGTTAAACAATAGTTAAAAGAAAAAAAAAAAAAATCTAATGAGAAAGTATGAATGACCAAAAATGTCAAAACTTGATATTATCCACAAAGATAAAAGTGTATTCCTAATATTAAAACCAATGATGGACAATAGTCTAGGAATGTTCTTAAACTTCACTTTTGTTTGTGTTAGGAATTTTTTTTAGAGAACTGATTAAAATGAATAAAATAAAAATAGAAGCCAATGTATTGAGTTGGTTGAAAAGTTTGTTCACTTTATTAAGTAGAAAAGTTGCTCAAAAAACTGAACAAACTTTTTGGCCATCCCAATATTATACTTGAACTAATAACTGGAAAAAAAAATCATCTTGAAGAAACACGCAAAACAACCCCCACCCCACATAAAAACAGCTTTATGCATATAAAATAATATGCATATACACATACATACACTGTATGGTGATGCAAAAAGCTGACATAGATGTAAATTCAGATTTATACTTGCCATGTAATTTAGAAACCATATGTAGCCCTGGCGAAACATTATACGGCCATTGAAAAGATTATGGAGTTCTCAACTGCAGTGCACAGTTGTGGATTATTGATCTTGACTGATATTGAAGTGGGTTGGTAGTAATTAACCAACATTTATTTTTTATTAGGAGGCACAGTGGAGTAATGGATAGTAACTTGGACTGAGGAATCGGAGAGTTAAGTTTGAATTTCAGAAGAGTTTGTCACAGTCACTTACATACAAATACTCTTGGGAAAAGTATGAATTCATCTCTTCCCCTCCCAACTATGGGTAAATAGCCCAACAGAGTGGATCATATAGCCTTAGGTGGCTACAAGTCTAAGAAAAGGACAACTCTGAATTTAAAACCTTTAATTATAGGTCAAAATGGCCTCATCAACCTACAATTGTCCAAGCATAGTGCATATGGCTACACTCTGAAGACATGGTTATTTAGGGATGGTTCCTTCCAACAGGAGTAAGAAGGCCATGGATCTGGATCTGAATCTGTTGTAATGAGCTTTCATCCTTGGTACCTTATTTTTTTCATTAAAAATTTGTCTCAAACATAAAAATGAAAAAACTTTGATCTATCATACAAGATTTAGTATTTGCCTGGTATGATAAAATTAAACTGAATGTCACTTCCCTATTTCCAGATGTGTTTACAGCCTTATTTTTAACTCTTTTAATGTTCAATGTACTAGTTAAAAGATTAACTGACTTATGTTTTATATCTTTTCTATGTTGTTTCTTTTGTGAAGCTGGCAAAACTTAGATTTTGAAGCTTATAAAATGTATAACTCCTACAAGAGGAAAAAAAAAACATACTGAAACAGTAAGGGGTTCATAACTTTCTTAAACATTTATTTATAGTAACAGAGAATATAGTAATCAGAAAGATAGAGGAGAGCCAATGTGTATGGTAGGTAAAGTAGATAGATTACAAACTGGAGTCATTTCACACAGGAAGTGAAGTGCAACTATGGTTGGGAATACATTACTGTGGTTCTTCCTCCCACAAAGCACATTACTAACAATAAAAAATAGGGGCTAATGACCCATGGTAAAAAGATAGGAAATTATTTCACCTATCAACAATCCATCAAGCAAGCATCCGAGGCAATGGCTAGACTAAGAGAAGCATCCTCCCCAGATAAGAAACAAATATTCTACTGAAGCAAGCTTTTTTTGTTTGTTTTATGTCAGTTATATTTGGTTAAACAAGGCTACTTTGAGTTAGAGCCTATAAGCAGGCATCTGCATATTTTGCAAGTTTTCTCATCTCATATTCTGTAAAGTTAGTATCTTTGTGTAGCTTCAAAACAGCAATGCTTTTATGGTATTAGAATTTATAAATATACCTTTTTTTCTAAACAACATTTTGTATCACATGGGAAACCCTCACAGGTTAAAAGTGGCTCTTGTGTTAGTGTGCAACAAAACTTCTTATTTTGTTTCATAAAACAGGTCTTATGTCATAATCTATGACAGTCTGAAGGCGGGAATGGCTAAAGAAAGGCACAGGGTGGATATTATTATTATTTTTCTTTCTTTTTTTTTTTTTTTTTTAAATGTCTCTCTTTTTAGGATGTAGGCTATCATGGCTCTCCACGAATTCCTTTTCCTTTATTATCTGTGAATTGCCATGACTTCCTGGGAAAGATAGTGGGATAGTTTTCCATTGCCTAGCTATAGTTTTTAAATTCAGACTGGTTGTTTCTGGACCTAAAGCTAGAGTTCATTCTACATAGCTATTTAACCCATAGCACCATATGGAAAAGAAGACCTGCATTTTTCAAGGGTATTAGTGCAAAAAGGAATGCAGCAAACTAATATTTGAAAGTTGGTTCCTTGACTCCACTTCCCAATATAAGTATACTAATAACAGTTACACTACCCATATATCTTAACTATTAGGTATCCAGAATCTGATATGATCTCCACAACATAAAAAAAGAAAAAAAAAGAAACAATTTTAAATTCTAATTACATTCTTTGTAAATGTTTGTTTAGGTATAGATTTAACTCAAAATTTAATTTTTTCTTTCAAAAGAATATTACAACATACAAACATAGAAAAGAAATTTAAATTCTTACGTAATTAAAAGAATAGTTAAAATTTGGAATTTAAATCAGTCTGATTAAAACCTTGAAAATGACAAAAGAAAGGTATTTTCCTCCAATCATACAAGTTTGTTTCATTTTCCAAACAATTGGAAAAAATTATTTTGAATTAAATAATTTAACTTTTTGCATATCAGCATCATTTTTTTTTAAGTGACATTATAACAGAAATGTATTTTATAAATTCTTACATTTTTCATAAGGAGATGCATACAAAACAAAATGCAGGTCAAAGCAACAATAGCACTGCCCTCTCGCAATCATAATCACAATGAATATCATTAAAACTTTAATACGATTCCTACAGATTAAATAAAGGGTTCAATTCAAAATTCCCTGAAGGTTATTTGGATTGACAGACACCTGAAAAATGCTTGAGGGAACAATGGTCAAAACATTGTGATAATAAAAACAAAGATGGGGATAATAGTTCAAATATAAATAATGATAACTCTTCAGAAATTAATAAAAAACAAAAAACAAAGACAACATTGATAATGAAACATTAAACAAGACAGAATACTGGGTGAAGAAATTTTACGTTTTAACAGTTTCCATATGACATAATTTTGGTATAAAATCAACTTTCAGTATAGAATTTTAAAGAAACAAAATATTGCAATCATTTTTTATTTTAAGCTCTTATTCAAATACAAATGAAATTGTTGGTAATGAATTCAATACTGCAAGTAATTTTGATGAATTTTACCTCTTTACATATAAAAACAGCTTAATCAAATACAGGCATAAAATAGTACTAAATATAATTATCATTGCAACCAATAAGCTATCTCTGGATGATAATTACAGTGTTATAAGTTTTTTTTGTTTTTTTTCCTTTTTTATGCAATTCCTAGTCAAAACAATATCCAAATGAAAATTTCTCATTTGTATCTACTATATATATATATATATATATATGATTACCAGTTCCACTTATTTGGTAAGTGGCAAGTTTTGCCAAGCTAGCATTAAATATATAATAAGATTTATTTTTTATCTGATCTAAGAGATATTTATTAACAACTTTAGTGGAGATAATGACAAACGATAATTGTAAAATCAAAAGAGATTCCATTGAAAACAGTAGACTAGAGGTCTCAACATTTCTAAATTCATTGTTACCATATTGTCCATGACAATATATTAAGAAAAGGAAGAGTAAAAAATAGTTATAAATTATACTATAATCAACATAGTGAACTACAACTCATGACTAACATATAAGTTTACCATTTGCTCATGCATTGA